TTTATACCAGCTTTTTGTTATAAAGTTTACAAAGTGACTTATTTATCCCTCCTTCTTTTATTTGGCCAAAAAATAAAATAAACACAGAAGGAAACACCAAAATGCATTTCTGAAAAACTTACAAACTACTTTCTAAATTACCACAAGCACAAATGGATTCATCCTGATACCGATTTTCTGCACCAAATGCCCATTTCAGCCTCTTTCACAGACTCTTCCTGCTCACGCCAGCTCTGCAGGATGGCATTTTCCTCTCAGAGATGTTTGGACATTTCCATTTGCCACAGACAAACTGTAGCAGCCGGAGCAAACAGGCCACTTTCACATCGAGCTCTGAACAAAGAATAGGGGCCCTGGAGGAGAAGACTGTGAGTCTGAGACATGGGGAGGCCTTTTTTTCCTCTTTTTTTTTTTTTAGCCCTAGCTGGCACCAGAATGGACTTGTAGGCAGGAAAAGAGAATCTGGAGGGAAAACTAATGATGAAAAAGTCTACTCTATCCCTGCGCCTTCATTAAATACATGGAAAGAACGAGAGAGGCACATCTGGATTCAATCCGCGTCCCTTTGATGGCATCAAGTGTTCTTTTCCCAGATCAGGAGGCTGGAAGCTACGGGGTGTCTATGGCAGCTTGGAGCCCAGAGTCGACTCCTGCCATCTGAACACATGACCCCCCCCCTCCCCCGCCGCCCCCACCGCCCCACATCACCTCCACCATCCAGCTCCCTCCATTCCTTCTTCCCTTCACCCCCACCACCTCACCGACGTGGGAAGTCGCTCAGTTTCAGTTTGAAAGTACTTTACTTGCATTTTGGGAGACTTTCTGCTTTTTTTGCGTTTAAGTTCAGAAGGAAATGATGTCTCTTTTTACTCCAATCGATTTATCTGACGGCTGAAGTTTCTGGTTACTTTACAGATTCAGAGAAAAGTTGATAAACTATAACATATGACACAAAGCTTTTCTTTTTATATGACTAAAAGCAGAGGTTCCTAATAATTTAGGTGTTTTTCTTGTCCCTTGAAATAAAGTAATGTCTTCTTGTGACCCCTCAACACAAGTTATGGCTTGTTATGGTTGTGAGCAGTTTGAACAGAGTGATTTTCCTCCTTCTAAACATTTTTAAGGACCTACAGAAGTGAAGGTATTCAGTATTCACAAAACTCTGATCAAATATACATTAGTTTGATGTTGGGCTCTCAAATTTCATTTCTCTGTCTTTCTCCTCGTCCTTTTCTTCCTGAAAGCACGGAAATTCCCCCAACTCTCCAGTTATATGGGACTTTCAAATCACTTAGTGTCTCTGATATGGGGGATTTTCATTTCCACGACTGTGACAGAGGACGCTGTTGATACTTGAAAACAGTTTCTCACAGAATAAAAGGATATTATTCTCTATAAAATCTCACATGCTCAGATCAAACTGAAAGAGACATGGATAGAAATTCAGAGTTCAGTTGATGGAGTGGGTCAGTCCATTCTTTCCTTTAGCTCTGATTGGCTGAGCCTCTGTAAACTACCTGAGAATCACACGCCTGTGAGCAGTGAAGAGGCTGATTACATTTAAAGTAGATAAAGCTCAGTGCAGCTGGGCAGTTTTATGAAAGTAACCAAATATCAGGAGCAGCAATTTGCAGAGCACGATGATGACAAGAGGATGAGAATCCCTTTAGACCGGCTAATGTGACAGTTGTCATGCCGTTGAATAGAGTAGATTTTATCACTTATCATCAACGCTGTGTGAGGCCTACCAAATCCACCTGTAGGCCATGTGTTTAAAGGGTCAGTTCACCCATTTGCTGTAATTTTAAAAACAAAATATGAATTGATTTTTGGACACTTGGGGGCAGCAGGACAATCTGTAAACTCTGACATATCATCTACTCAGAGTCGTTGTGTGCAGCAAATCCAATGTTCACCGTCCTTTTAGCTCTGGTTTGGTCTCCACCTAGTCCTGAGAATAACATCTGGCTCTTTAGCTGCTAAATGCTCCACTTTCTTCAGCAGCTGGTCTCTAACTGTTTGGTGCTGAGCACAGTAGTGGAAGAAGTCTCATCTAGCAGTACCACAGTGTAGAAATACTCTGTTACAACTTAAAGTCCTGCATTCAAGTTTGTGATAATGTAAAAATACAAAAGTATTAGTATCAAAATATACTTATACTTACTTTTAACATAAATGTAGTTGGAGGTGGAGCTAATTTTAATTACTTTTTAATTAAATTACTTTTAATTGCTCCTGGATAGTTTGTGAATTTCTTAAACTGCATCACAATGCAATTGTCGGTTATACGAAGTAAAAAAGCAGTTGCTCTTAACCCCTTGACGCCTGAATTTATTTATAATAATTTTATAAGAAAATGTATTACTTTCTTTTTCATTTGCTTTCAAGCTGATGCTTAGTTAGGTGGAGAATGATCATTTGTCTACAGAACATAGAATAGATATAAATGATATGATGCAAATTAGCAAAAACAGGCATAAACCAGAACCCAGTGCTTGCAAAATGTTCCTAGGTACGTAACAGGCATTGGGGAATACATACGCTATCCTGGCTGCAGTCTGAATGAAAGCAACGTGATGTGAATTTGCGGCAATTGGCATTAAGGGTTACTTGTCCTGCCTGGTTAAATAAAGTAAAAAAAAAAAATTTGTATTAATAATCTTTATCTGTAGAGTGAATATTAATTAAAGTTAGATAAATGAAGTGATGTAGAAGTACAATATTTGCCAGAGGCATAGTAGCATAATATGTACTCAAAGTAGGGGAGACCGGGTCTGGTTGTAACACTTTTTGCTTCAGTAACTATAACTCGCTGAATTCTTTAGCTAGAGTTCTCAAACTTTTATAGAAAGTACTCACATTTGTTTACTTCAAATGGCACCAATTCAATTTTCTACAAGAATATCACAGACGTCGTGAGTTGATGTCATATACATGCTGGTCCACAACGAGGGTGGGTTGTAACCAGCCTGTCCTCAACAGAAAAACGGCCATTTGGTCGTTTCAGCTGCACAAAATTACGACTTGTTTACGTTTATTGTGGCAGCGACTGCACAACTCAAACACATGACAAAGACGGTTACGTATTATAAATAGCCAGAAAGTTGTAGTCCGTGGTGGTGGACATGTGAATGGTGAATACTGGCACCACTTCAAGCACTGGTCACAGCGCTGACAAATGAAAGCTGGTGACCCTGGAGTGCAGGCTTGGTGGGCCCAGAGACTGCATGGTCTTGTTGGCGTATGTAAGGGGATGGTTGTAACACTTTTTAAAGAAGAACCACCCCAGTCAGCTATTGTTTAGCAACCTGTTCTCACTCCCCAACTCATCGGCAACAGGTTGTAATGCACTGGGGATCCCTATAGCGTCATAGTTCAACGCAGTGGGGGATGCCCTGTAGCGTCGGTAAAGATAGGTTTATGATATTTAACAGACAAGGCAGAGTAAGGAGGTGGTTGGGGTGGATGGAGGGCCAGTACCTGGACTTTGAACCAGGAGACCAGGGTTTGTGTCCGTGTGAAACAAAAAGTCAACCTTAAATATTTTTATTTAAGTTACGCGAGTTACGTATATTGCGTGAGTTACACAAGTGACATAAGTGAACTTACGTTTTAACCCAAACCGTGATCTTTTCCTAACCTTAACCAAGTACTTTTGTTGCCTAAACCTAACCAAACCTTTCATGAATCTAATAACGCGCTGTTTTAAAATGGCGATGTTTCGAAACGCTAACCGGACATTGCATGTTTATTGTTGCTAATTTTACTGGACGTTGCACCTAAACATCTAAAAATGACACTAAAGGCGTTAAAAAGCAACGCCAAAGGGCTTTGACCAAGTGTCAAGTGCCAAGTGATGAGTCGGGAGTAAGAATGTGTTGTGTTTAGCTGTATTAGCAGCGTGGTTTGAAATTAGCAGGGGCTGTCTATGAAGATTCTCAGTCATCAGGGACTTCTTCAGTTCTGACTGACTGGTAGGGAAATTCAGCTATTTAAGGGAAGAGGTTAAATAGTTGAGTTTCCCTACCAGTCAGTCAGAACTGAAGAAGTCCCTTGGATGAGGGACAAAACGTCTTCCAATATCTTCAACCAAGTCCAGTTGCCCTTGACTTTAACCTTCGTTGGAAAATTAGCAGGGGAAAACTACAATTTAATCCAAGTCATACAATTTTTCTCTATATATGATGAATGTGCTTGTTTCCAGTCTTGACTACCATCATGCCTGATCAAGGAGGAAGTATAGGTAAATACCGAAATTATCTCATGACTCCTATCTTATCTCTAATTGGTGGAATTGGTGTTGTTACAACTCATGTTACAACCACACCAGGCCTCCCCTACCTCAGAATTGTACTTAAGAACAGTTTATTTACTTAGAAATGTCAAATGGGACATGTTCCTCTGTGGTCCCAGACAATTTACCCCCCCCCCCCCCCTGTGCTGTGCTCATTAAACAATTTGCATGATGATGCCAAAAATATCAACTGAACCAAAAATGTTTCCCCAAGAAACTGACATTCTTTAGACACTGTGATTTATTAAGCAGCCTAACTCGCTGCTGCTAAGTTTACATAAAGTTATTTAAACCATTATTTATTGTTCAAATAATGGATTCATTTGGATCCAGAGCGTCTCTGCCAGCCCGATGGCGCAGCCTGTGCTCATGTGTACAGATCGGTGGATAGACTGACTGGCAGGGGTTATGGTTGATTTAATTGGTGGCAGACCGCAGGACAGTCGAGAGTGGCTTCATCAACACACAAGCAGTGATAACAACAGTGTGTCTCCCTGCACACTCTGCTGGCTGCTGCTCTCCTCACACTCACACTCATTAAGCGGTGAGGTATTCCAGCCAGGGAAACGAAAACAGGCCAAACCAGGGTGTTGATGGTGCTGATGGGGATGTTTCTGCTGAAGGGGGTGGAGGGCCTGTGAAACGTCAGACACAACATAAAGGCATTGCCACGTAATTACGGGGCTCTCTTTCATTTAGGGGGGAGAGAGAGAGAGAGAGAGAGAGACTATAGGGTATATAGCCTGGAGGTGCGGCAGTAACGTCCTGCCTCCCCGCGCCTAGCTGCCGCTGAGCAAGTTTTGCGCACACACGGAGTTTTGCGCATCTGGTCGTCATCATCATCATCATCATCGGCAGCAGCAGTTCTTCCTGCTCAGATGTGACTCAACCAGAGTGGGTAGAGTGCTTCTTCTCGGAGGACTGCTTTGAAAAACGTCTTTAAAAGTCTCTCTCGGGCAGCAGGACAAGCAAAGGCTGATATTTTCCTTGTTCGCTGTTGACGCGCGCCTCTGGATGGATTGGCTCTTGGGGGTTTGATCGGGGAAAAGCAGGCGAGGAGAAAACTTTGCTGAAATTTGTTTGTGCCCTCCGCGGCCGATCTGGATGTGAACAGATCCGCTTTCTGCTCGGAAGAACCGAGTCTCTCTCTGGCTGGTTTTCGGAGGCGCTGTTTGTGCGTTCTGCATGCAAGGATCTTTTTGGCTCGCTTGTGAGTCTTCTCTTTCTTCTTATTGCCGCTCCGTTTTTTCCCCCCGCTGTTCCCCACTTGCGTCATGACTTCTAGCTATGCACATGTAATGGACAGGCAAGCCTCGATATCAAACCGCCTGGAGAGTCCGATCACGTCTAACCTGGAGAACCTGCAAGCCAAAAAGAACTTCTCGGTCAGCCACCTGTTGGATCTGGAAGAGGCCGGGGAAATGGTCGGCACCCAGGCGGACGAGAGCGTCGGGGAGGCGGGGAGGAGTATGCTGGAGTCTCCGGGGCTGACCAGCGGGAGCGACACGACCCAGCAGGAGAGTAAGTGAAAAGCAGACCGACGAGAACCCGAACACAGACTGAGACTAACGAGAGATCAAAACAACTTTTATGTCTTGTGACCAAAATATTAAACTTCATCCCGGATGTGTTTTAATGTGAAAACGTATTCAGGTTTAGTCTCTGGAAAAATTCTGCACATTTCACGCAAATGTAGCTCTAACGACAACCTTAAAACTAAAGTCATTTGTTTTCATTATGTTCTGGCTCGTGTCCGCGTGCAGAGCGCATGAATGGAGCTCTGCAGAAAGCAACGCGCATGGAAGGACTCCTTTAGTGAGCTTTGGCAATGCATCATCCCTGACGGCCTCCCCCTCAAAACGGCCATTAATTTACCATTAACACTTTGATGTCAGTGAGGTATGGTGATGTTGGTGGACATGGTCAGTGAAGTAACCTTGCGTGTCAAACTCGGGGGTAATAAATCTCTTTCTGGTAACTGTTTATCACGCACGTTTTTATTTAAGAGATAAAATAAATTGAGTAAAGACAGATAGCCTATAGGCTTACATTTATTTTGAAAATACTTGAGTGAGTCAAATGATGACGTGACACATGTGTGACCGATTGGTGGTCAACATCTGTAATTATTTATCACTAAATAATGATAAAAGCCAGTTTTCAAAACCATCACTCATTCCTTCGTGTGTGCGCGCAAAAATGAGACCACTGTTAGCCGAGTTTGGTGAACTAAGAAGCGGGTTCTGCCCGCTGAGCTGCCGCTGACGGCCCGACCTGAAAACCAGGGCTATAATTTCCAACTTTATTGAGTTAAAATGTTCCGCTGTGTGCATGGAAGTTGACTAAAACACGGATAAACTCAGTGAAAGCGCAGAAACCCCCCGCTCGAGCTCTCCGGCGCACCGTTGAGAGAGTAAATAAACGCTCCCTCCTTTCTCCTCCTCCTCTTCTTCTGCTCAGAGGGCCATTTGCGGAGGTTGACAGAAACGTTATAGGCTTTAATGAGTGTTATTGTTATTTTTTTAAAGGCTAAAAATCGGAGCGGCGGGTGTGAGAAATACGCGGGAGGAAGTGGCCAGGTCACGTCGGTAATTCACGCTTATTTTCGGCCTGTCAAACGCTTTCAGAATATCGGAGACTAATCATTTATCATAGGCTAATTACCGCGCGTGTCTTCGCTCCAACAATTAAGGAATCAAATAGCAGCATCTCATCGGATCTCGTTGCGATCAGAGATGAGTTTAATGAATCAGCCGGATTTAGAAATACAAATAATAAAAAGGTTTAATGAGTAGAAATATTTGTGGTGTTATTCGGTTATTCCGGGTAATGCGGGGGAGGACGCCAATTACAGGGTTATTTCCAGATTAACGCAATGCATGATGACAAGTGTTGGAGCCTAACCTTTAGGTCTGCATTTCTTCCGATTTACGTGAAAGCAACAGTTTGTCTGAATGACTTTGGGCATTTAAAAAATCTTTTTCACAATGTTACCCCCACACACATTAGAACTAATAAAAACACATTTCATAGTAAAATCGCAACACTTGAAATGTGTTGTCTTATTATTTTAGTGTTATTTTACTGTAATCAATAAGTTCTCCTCTCCTAAATGAGTTTTGGCAGGAGGACTAATTGACGTTCACTGATTGCTGCTAATGAGATCAGTCTAATCACACGTGTTGGCCACCCTCGCAGCTGCAGGACGGTGACGGTGAATGGCGTTGATTTGCTGTTTTAAAATGTCACTGCAGGCTTAATTAAAAGCTTTCCGAGGCCAAACCGCCGCTCAGGCGCTGCACGACTATTAAAAGAAACACAGAGGCCGGAGGTTTAGGTTTCACTTCTCTCTTTGGGAGCAACTATATTTGGATTTTTATATTTTGTCCACTTGAAATAAAACACGTTCATCATGCAGAAAAGAATATAATCTTATTTGCAGCTCATTCTTAAAAAATATAAAGCCTACAACTGTACGCGTTTAAATTGACTAGATTTTGTAGACACTCTGCTTAGCCTTTGTGCGATATTGCGATATTTTCACTCTGCAAAATAATAAAAATAGTTAAATTAACTCGAGTAAAATATTGCACTCACCAAAATATATATTCAATATTTCTATTTTGTCACGTGATCTAATTAACCCACGCTTCTCTGCTTTCGTCTTGCTTTTAAATGCCTTCTCTAAGAGCCAGTGTAGGCCGAGCTATAGGTTCTACAATCTTCAAGTCAGCAGCCTCGTTATCAAATTTAATGACTGACTGTTTAATATGCATTTCTCATCTCACTGACAGCCCGAGCTGCAGACAAACCTCATCACTTTTCTCCGGTTGTAACGTCATCAAACGGGCGGACTAATGCAGTGCGTCATGATTATCATTTTAACCTCCAGCCTGTAAAAAGCCGCTTTACTGAAAGTATGCGCGGTCGCTGGTCAGCCATGTTGCGGCTGCAATCAGCGTTCACAGCCGCAGTTCCCCCCTCCCTTTTTTTCTTTTTTACCCAACTTTTAAAAACTGTGCTGCTGCACCGATTCAGGGTCCAACTGAGAGGAAGTAAGATTCTGATGAGAGATTTTTGGTGGTAAGAAAAATGCTGCCTGAATACAGTATATTTTAAAACACCACATCTGCAACGTTGCTCAGTTTAACACGTGCTAAGATTTTAGGTGTTGGGACTTCACTTAAGTAATTTTCTACAATATTTAAGAGTGAAATATTGTGTTTTTTAGGCAAGGCAATACAATTATCTGCATAAAGCAGAAGGATATGGCAGCAGTAACATGTTCAGAAGAGTTTCAATCAAATTTAATACAAAAATGTTTTACTTTAAACCTTTCACATATCTGACAGCTGGATTTAGGCTATTATGTATATGCAGATTTAGGTTTTATGTGCAGAAATTCTTAAAGTGTTTTGTACTTTAATAGGGTTTCATAGGTCAACCCCCACCCACAAAGGGTCAGCAAATGAATAACAGGAAGTTTTTTCTAATCTTACAGTCTTAACGTATTTATTGATTTGAATCTTTAAAAAGAGTAAAATTGCACACTAAAACCACTCAAAACATATCCCACTCCATGTCACTCTCTCCACAAACAATTGAGGAAAAAAGGTCAAAAAGATTGTGCAGCAGCTTTTTAAACTTCCCAACAATATATTGCAACTGATCAGACCTGGAGAAGAATCAAAGCATCAATCATTTATCAGATAAAGAAAAAAAATGACACTTTACTGTGGAAGCTAAAGTCTGTTTTTCTGTCAGCACTATTAAATACTATTCTGCGTGGAGTAATGGAGTATTAAAACAAATAGATAATGATACTCGGCTGAGGTTAAGGATTGGAGGTCTGCCCCAAAGGGCTCCTGAGATAAACGGGAAAAAATCACACAAGACTGAAACTCATGGAAGAAGGAGAATATTTTTTTTTTCACACAAAATTGTGTAACTTTTTTTCATACTTTCTCAAATGTTTTTTTTTTACAGGTGAAATACTAAATACATTTATCTGATCGGGCCTGTAAAAATCCTTCAAGTACAACAATGTGAGATGTGACTTTTATGGTCAAAACTGCTCAAAACCTAAACTGTGTTTTACTTTAAAGGGGACGCTCTCAACCACAGCTTTATATGGTCATTTTAAACCAGCAGATAAGCAGAGCTTACAGTTAGTTTTCTCTCAGCTGCCTCCTGATTGGCTGAGACTGTGGGGTGGGAGTTTTTCTCTAATTAGACAACATGATGACAACAAAACAAACAGGCTCAGTTGACACACTGCAGCATCTGCGCCATGACTGTGTGTGTGTGTGTGTGTGTGTGTGTGTGTGTGTGTGTGTAAGAAGTAAAGGCAGTAATACTCCATTACAAGTTGTGCAGTATGTAAGGAGGAGTTTCCTGGTGGTTTAGTGGTTGAAGAAGCTCAACTTGCAATCGCAGTCTCCACAGTTTGAGTCCAGCTGAGTACCTTTGTTGTGTCTCCCCTTATATAACTAAGTATTAACATTAAAATATACTTGAAAATATAAATACCACTTGAATGGAGTTGTTTCTTTGAGAGTGTTACGGATATTAAAAATCCAAAACCCCCAAAGTTAGGCATAAAAGGTTTTTCCACTCGACTATATCCTTTTAGATCATAAATGCCTTCTCCGCTGGTTGAGCATGGTGATCTAAAACCTTTTAGATTTACTGAGCAAACTGGTGAGGAAGACCATGAGATGCATTTGAAAGCTCGGAGGAAAGAAATTTACTACAGGAGCCTACAGTTTCCATGGTCAAGACTGAACTCTTAAACATCACTTTAGATTAAAAGTCATCTTGTCATTGAGGCTTTTTTTAACATGTGAGTTGACACTTTGAAGAGACAAAAATAATCTTTCTGAGGGTGATGGAAAAACATTTAGTACCACAGTCTGCTTTCAAAGTCAAACGACGTAATGATGTACCATATTTCACCATATTTTACCTCAGGTAAAAAGTTATGCTGCAGAGATAACATTTTTTTAATCAACCCGATGACATAATAAGTATTAACTTTGTCATTACAATCAAACCCATTTCATATATCAGTTTTTAAATCAGGTTTATGGTTTAACATTTATCTTCATTTTGGGTCTATGTGACTGAAAACCAGAACACAAACAAACTTCACAATTAAATTCAGGTTCACATTGATCTAAAAAGCATCATACAGGATGTTCGAGGTCTCATCAGTTCACTCCAGTTGTTTTAGCAAACTACTAATGATAGGTTCACTCTGACATTTGTCCTCCACCGCGAACTTCATTAAATTTGATTTAAAATAACTTTTTCTCAAACTCTAAACTTAAAAAAACCCCATCAGAATAAAATAATTAATACATTACATTCAAGTGTTACTAAATGTCACTGAGCTGCAACCAGACGTCCTTAGTTATACTGAATGTAAAATCTAAATCTGCAGCGTCACTCATTAGCTGCCAGATAAACGTAGTGGAGTAAAACGATTTCCTTATGGAAGGTAGAAAGTCTCTCAGCTCTTAATGTAGCATGTGTGTGTGGAGTTACAGAATGTGTGGTGTGTGTGTGTGTGTGTAATTAGGCAGGAACATGGAAGATCAGTCTTTTTTCGATGTGAAAGTGTTATTTTGTGGTCTTGCTGCGGAGCCACAAGGCACCAACACTGATTCCACCCTGCAGGAGCATTTAGACTGAACATGGAGCTGGAAGAAGTTGCTTCAGATCCAACGTGGATTGTATGTTATGTGTATCTTTGCCTAGAAGTTTATGATTTCTGTCCAGTTTTTGTTTGTTTTCTTGTACATTTGTCTGTTTGTTTGACAGTTAGGCTGTCGGCCAGTTTGTTTTGGGTGCAGATCCAGGAATCTTTTTTTAAAATATTAAAGAATCCGTTCACCCGAAGTCACCAGCAAAAACATATTTTCTTACAAACCTTCAGTGGTATGTCTCCATGCAGATAGTTTTGGTTTTATTCATTCCAGTTTTTGAGATTATCTGTCTCTGACATTTCTGCCTCCACACCAATGGAGACAACATTTTAAAAATGACATGGCAGAGGCGACGTTCCTGTTAACTAATAGTGCTCAGAGGAAACTGTGCCAGAGTAACTGGGGAAAAAGTGTCGCTGTTAAATAACTGTAATGTCATGTGTGCAACACACATAAATATATTTATTTAAATTTAGTGAATGGATTTCACATAACATAGGAGTTTGTTTTTCCGATTTCTATTTTCTTTTTCTAATGAAAAAACAAATCCGTCACACGCATACCACAATTGTCACTTTGTGTATTTTCTTTTCTTAAGATTATTTTTCAGGCTTAAGTGTTAAGCGGAGAGAGGAAGAGAGAGAGAGAGAGAGAGAGAGAGAGAGAGAGAGAGAGAGAGAGAGAGAGAGAGAGAGAGAGAGAATTGAAAGGCAGCAAAAGGTCCTCGGCCAGGTTTGAAACTGGGACGTTGTAGTTTAGGTGGTACGCGTCTCAGGAGGCCACAGCCTGTCACTTTATGTATTTTGATGCAGATTCACATTCAGAAAGATTTTCTAGAGGATTGTGCAGCCTTGGTAGAGGTTTGTTCTCTTTAGTTACAGCTGTTATCTTCAGATTATCAGTGATGGAAACAGAATTCAGAAGTCAGATCTGTCACTTACAATATATTGTCATATAAACTTGTCCTGGTAAACCAAATTTTCTGTTTGAATTTTATGAAAGTACAAAAGTCTGTCTTGTATTTAGGTCAGGTGCAGGCACAGTATGTTGGCTATTAGTTGTAGGGTGAAGATCAAGACTGTTCGTTACTTGGATGAAATACCTTTCAGATCTGTTATTATTTTGTATGTGAGAAGCCACTGACTTTTCAGAACAGCAGTAGTTGTTGTATGAATGCAGCTAACACTATACATTATTAAAATTTGATGTGGTCTAACACGGGCTGTTTTAAATAATGTTTTATTAGACCTCCTCCGGTGAAGTGTCTGTAGCTGTAACTATAAGCACGGATTGGAGACCTGCGTTCCCTTCGAGCCTTATAGAGGTTGTATAACATCATCTTCTTCTCGTTGTAGATGAACAGATGAACACGGAGGAGAAGAAGAAGAGGAAGCAGCGCAGGAACAGAACCACCTTCAACAGCAGCCAGCTCCAGGCTCTGGAGAGAGTGTTTGAGAGGACACACTACCCCGACGCCTTCGTCAGAGAGGACCTGGCCCGCCGGGTCAACCTCACCGAGGCCAGAGTCCAGGTATGAACAGGGACATTTCCTTCAAACCTCGAGGGTCATTAGAATGATTCTCACATACCCTCCTCCCTTACAAAATAAAATCCGGATTGCTGAAAGTTTGAAGGTTTTCCACTAACAGCAGTGATTTATCAGACAAGGAGAAGGAGCCATAAAAGTCACCAGATTGCAAAGTATGCACGGTCAAGAAGTAGGAAGGGCCTGTGGGCTTTGTTCTGTAAAGCCCTCTTTACTGTAGGGACACCAAAATAAACAGATTACTATAAACACACAGACACAGAAACTTGCTGCATTACTTGGTACTTCAGAAAGGATTCATAAAGTTTTGGGAACCCTGTGGGACGTGTTAAGGAATCTTTGAGTTTCTCACGACTCAAAAAATATCATGTTTGTATTATCAACATAGAGCAGCAGAGCCAGCAGGGTGCCTAGTTTCTTTCACATCATCTGTTTGCTCTTACACTCTTTAGTTAATAATCCTACTTAGTGGCTAGTGCTTATCAGGGCCTAATAACATGTTTAGATTTTGCAGTATGGGGTTTAAAAGGAACTGATAAGAACGTGTCAGCATCTTTCTTACATGATCTGTTAAATAATTGCTGATAGTTTAGAGTCTGCGAGCAGTTTGTGAACTCCCCAAAGGACTGGATGTGATCAGAAAAGGGGATGTAATGATGTCTAATTTCCTCAGAGGTTTACAGATCAGTGACAAATGGCAAATGTGTTCAACACATGAGGGTTGCAGCAGAACAGGAGCTGAATATGATGCTGTAATTGGCCAAATGAGCGATATAAAACTTCCAAATGCAGTCAATCAAAGGACATCGACTATGGATTTAATATCTTAAATGCAACCAGAATTTTTACTGAAATTAAATTCTTGTCTCAGGAACATTGCCCTTTGCTGCCTTGGCTTTGATTAATATTTTATTTAGAATATTTAAATGACTTATCTGGTGGCTCGCTGGTTAAAAAACACAAACCATGTATACACAGTGTCCCCAATTTAATTCTAGCCGGGGACATTTGTTGCATGTTCCACTCCTCTCTCTCAGGAGAAGTGTTGCTACCAGCCTACCAGGTGCTCAAGTAACTAAAGCCTGAATGTGAAGATGCTTCCAGTTCGTCAGCTAGTGTTGCTGAGTTGTTCCTTCCTGTCTGTATCTTCACTGTCACTTTCAGTGACTGTAGCGTGACAGACAAATACCCGTGGTAAATCCACCCCACCCGCCCCAATAACACTGCTTTTAAAGATGTGAACAAACAGTGAGAATTGAGTTGACATGCGCATCTGCGTTTATGTATTCAGAATTTCTTTCATTTGGAATATAGCAGCTAAAGAGAGGACGCTGTTTACAGAGAGTCACTGTAAAACTGTAACAGGGTGAGGAACAAAAATGGGATTTTGAACATGTGACCTGTGTCCCCTGTGGAATTTACGCCCTTGGTTGTTTTGGTTAAGCTTTGAAATGAGAAAAGTAAATTTTCTCTCTCTTAATCAACCCAAGAAAAGTTCATGCAACTATTTCTTTGAATCCACACAGACCTTATGTTTAAAACTGATATGCATTTCATATATATGACTCAAGAATCAACAGAGTAAATCATGTATTGCAGATAAAAATGTATCAATAATGCTTTTTTTTGTATATTATAATTGCCTGTTTTTTTGAAAACAACAGTGAAAGTATTTGTTCTGTGGGCAGAGTGAGTGGGAAAGAGGAAATACTGATGTTGGAACGAGAAGCAGCACATCTGTGATTAATGTGTAGCAGAGGGTGATGCAGAAATCCTTTGATAAAAGAGACTTTGGGCTCATTCCTGAGGCTGTGCGTCAGCGGACAGCGAGCCCCTGTGAGCGCCCACGGCTTCTAATAATGGATTTGATTTCACAGCGAGGAACAACATTAGCACCCCCCGAGTCACATCATCATCTGTTTAGCAAGGGAGTGGGGGCGGTTATGTACTTGAGAATGGCAGGGGGGCTGATGAGGGGTAGATGGTGAATTGGAGATGAAGGAGTGTGTGCATGTGTCGCAGAGCGTGGGATTCACACGTGATGCTTTTAAGGCAGTGACAGTTTTTAACAAGGGTTTGTGTGCAGAGAATGATTCAAAAACTTCTGGTTTGTTTGATCTTTTTTTAGATTCAGTTTTTTTATGGCCTCTGCTTCTTTTTTTTTTTTTTTTACTTTAGCCGCACGTGCTTGTTTTACCAAGTTAAAGATTTTAGTCTTTATACCAAGTAGACAGAACTTTTTTGATCAAATTGATGCCACAACTGGTCCTCATAACAAGACTCAAGTATCAGTTCTTTAGATATCATTCTGCTGACCCACACTGTGTGTAAAAAATCTTGTGTCACATGAAGAAAGATCATTTTGGATATATTTTCATTATTGTGATTAAGAAGACCAAATTGCAAAATGCTAATAATTTACCAGGCGTGTCGGGAAGAAACATGCAATTCATAAGTCATAATGTCAAAAACAAATACGCCTTAATCAAGTCTATGAACACAGATTCTCTCAAATGTCTCTTTATTTGCAAATAAAGGGTTTAGGATGACCTTCAACTAAATAATATTATTAATGGAAGAGTACTTCAGCATCGAGACTTTGGGACCATGTGTGACAAAATAATCTCGACTGAAGGTCCGCTAACGTTAAGGAGCTTTCAGCTGTCTTCATCGGCGAATGGAACTAGACATTGTCACCATGTGTGGAACGCCACATGCGACCACTTCTTATTACGTGACCAATGTCTCACACTTGATAACTTTGATGTCCGGCTGAAAGCTCCAGAATAAAAGCCAGTTGTTGGAGCAAAACATTGTACGTGATGTTTGGTGTGTTAAGGATCCTGTTTTATCCCTTGAGGTTACTGACTGTCTGCTATCAAAGGAACATTTTCTAGATGTCTTGTGCATCACTTAAGATCCCCTTCCACCCAAGTTCAACCTAAATATTTGGTATCATTGGGACTTTGGGGTCTTCTGTAAAGACAGGGCTGACAAACAACTTTAAATTGAGAAGTCATTCATCCTGTTGTTTTCTTTGTGATTCCAGGTTTGGTTTCAGAACCGGAGAGCTAAGTTCCGCAGGAACGAGCGCGCCATGCTGGCCAGCAAAAACGCCTCGCTCCTCAAATCTTACTCAGGAGATGTGACGGCGGTGGAGCAGCCAATCGTACCGCGTCCTGCGCCACGCCCGAACGACTACCTGTCTTGGGGCAGCGCTGCCCCCTACAGGTAGAGTCACCTGAGATCACCTGATAACCTGACATAAACATTACAACAACACACACCTGTTTACACACTGTGCTGCTTCTGTACTAACAAGTGGAGGCGACTGCTGATCTGCAGCACAGCGGTGGAAGAACTTAAAGTACTTAAAAGAGAATCCGTTACCTGTTCGCTTTCAAAAAGTAGAAATTGTGGAGTTTCATCAGGAACATCAACAGTAAAAGCAAAATGTAGTAGCAAAAGGGAAGGGTTAAGTGAAAACCTAAAGAAAGAAAGAAAGAAAGGACAGTATGAAAGAAAAGGCAGAAAGGGAGAGTTTGGGAATGCACATTTGACAATTTTAAGGCAGTGACAGTTTTAACAAGAGTTTGTGTGCAGAGGATGATTCAGAAAAACGTGTGGTTTGTTTGATCTTTTTTTAGATGAAGTTTTTTTATGGCCTTTGTCTCTTTATTTAACTTTAGCCACACATCTTTGTTTAACCAGCTAAAGAAAATATTTGAGTCTTTACACCAAGTAGACACAGAAGTGTTACCTGTATCCGTTTTGGTCATACTCAAAACAAGACTCAGGAGTATAAGATGACTGAGTAGTATCAATGCTTGAGGAATCATTCTGCTGACCCACATTTCTGTGTAAAACTCAACAAATTGCAAAATGCCAATAACTTGCAAGGCGTGTCTGCAGAGCTAGCCAATAACAAAGCGAATATTACATTTGAATTGGAAGAAGAAAGTGGCAAAGATACTGATAAAGAAAACGAGAAAATAGTTAAGTTCATCAAAATCTTAAACTGCAATTATTTTAATGTAGTGGAGTAAAAAGAATAAAATTCTCAAGTCAAGTACTGCTGCAGTACGCCAAACTACTTCAGTACTGACTCACTCCTGCTCCGCTTTCTGCTGCAGAACATCAAACCACACAAGTGTCTCCAGATGAAAAAGCACAAGCTGATGCCACAATAACCACACACACACACACACACACACACACACACACACACACACACACACACACACACACACACACACTGACCCTGGTACTGCTTTCTGTTATTGTTTCATTTCCTCCTGCTCTTCTACCTGCACATTCTCCTCATAGTTCCTCTGACCACCTTCATCTCTTCTGATCCACCTGGACGCTGAGCCGCAGGTCAGCATACCATTTAATGTGTATTATTTTATTCATTCAACCTTTATTTATACACAATTCTCCTGTGAGAGTAAACTCCTCACCAGTAAATAATAATAAATAAAAGCATTAAAAGCAAGGTAAAGGAAACGTCTGGTTGAATTCTATATGTTTCTTATTGTTATCAAACCTTATGTGCAGACCCAAACCAACAATATGTTACTGCATGCTACAATACTTTCTCTCTTTGGCTCTCAGCTTCAAGCCCATTGGTTTCTACTGAAAATGTAAATCTTAAAAAAAAAAGCTCACTAATTTCCTAAAACAGCTGCTTTTGTAGTTTCTATCAAACAATCAGGAGGAAGTCGCATATTTTATATCAGGCTGTGATACACACGCACACAGCACTTGTTAGGAGACACATTCACCATTGGTTTTTGGCTGTGTTGACAACTTGAAAAATTTTGAATAACTCCAGACTTGCTTTAAAAACTTCTGTAACAAGCTGTCTTTTCAGTTTTAGAAACTCTAGAATTGGATCGTCCCACCTCACTGAACGTTGGAGGAGGAGCTACTTTGCTTTTTATCCCCGCAGACAGAGTTGCTGGTCACTTTGTAGATTTAGGTTTTACTTTCATCGTAAGATAAACAGGCCTGTTGTCCTGGTAAACATCTCCAAAATTTCAGACATGTAGCTTTGCACATTTGTTTTTCATTTTGTCTAATGTTAACATCAAACACTTTTATCCTGTCTCAGTTCCCATAAGCGAGTAGCCCAAGATAAACAGATGAAAAACATTAGCAGCTGAAATGATTATTACAGATATTTTCTTAATATGTTTTTAAACCACACCTTCTGTTGTTTTCCCCAAAACATATTTACCAAATGTAAAACAATTGTATAGAACACAATTTCTCAGTGAAACAGGTGATTCCCTGCCAAACATTTTACTTAAATAGAAATTGAAAAGCAGCAGTATATTTCTGCTGTGATATTACAGTATTTTGCGGTGGCCTTGGACTAACTTTTACAAAAACAAAACTCTTCGTACCAAAGTACCATTTTAAATGTAACATTCACAAGCAAGGACCACAATCAACAGATCCGATTAAACGATTTATCGCTAAACAAAACAGAAAGAAGTACGAGGCTCGCTGAATAGACATTCAAAAGCGTTGTGAGGAAGCTACGATAGGGAAATCCGCCGTAGCACCCGGGCACGACGGACCCCCCCTCTAACCCTGTGAAGAGGAAGATGGTGATGAGGAGACCAGATGGAGAAAGGGGTGGGCAGGAGGGGTGCAGAATGCAAGAGCGAAGAAGAGAAGATGGGTTGTGTGGGTATTTAGGGAAATGCCGGGAGTGACGTCAGTGATGTGTGCAATGCAAAAGACATATAAGTCATATGCTCAGTTTCTTCTTTTATGCTTTCCAGCATTGTATTACAAGTTCATTAATTATGTAAACTTAAAAGTAATTTAAATATCTAATGATGCGTGATGTCTTGATTAAAAAAACAGTTGCTGTGGTTGAATAGAAGCTAATGCAGTGAAGTGCAGTCAATCACAAATTCTCTTGGTCTTACATAAATGCAGGATTCAGTGTAGTGTAAGGTTTGAGACTAAATTCTATCTATATCACAAAATTAAAGTATATCACAATACAAAAATGCAGACTTGCACAAGAAAGGCTGCGTCATTTCAAATACTGTGTAAGTTTGTTCTTGTATAATCTCTGCTGTCTTGATGAAGTTGTTGTGAAAATTGAGCCAAAGTTATTATAAAATACTGTAAAGACTGAAAGCTCGCTGTTAGGAAGCTTGTCCATGAGGTTTGTTGTAGACAGGCTCCTCTCTGACTTTTCCTTTTCTGTCTCTATACTTTTGCTCCTGTCTTTCCTGCAGCCATTTTTCTACACTGCATGTATAGCAGTCCTGTCTTGCACATATCTAATGTTGACTCAAAACACCCTTTTCCTCGCCCTCGCTCCCATCGCTCCCCTCTGTCAACGTGAGCGGGGCGGGGCCAGATCCTGTGAGCCTCCTGAAGAGGCGATAATGTGAAAACAAACCGTATTAAATCCACTGTTGACCCCTGTGACCCCTCTCTGCTACACTACACCAAGATAATGAACGCCACACAGAGAGACAGAGCTCTACTGGGCAACATTTTTTGTGACTCTGGTTACATTGGTCATGATTTACAGTAATCCTCCGTTATGAAACTCGGTATAAAATGTCAAACCCTGCGGCCGCGGCTCAAACTCACTGAGAGCTTTTTGGCTGGATGCAGAGCAGCGAGGGAAATCTTTTGTGAAGCAGGAATAATGCTGTGTGGAACACGCTAATGTGGTGCTAACACTTCACTGTATATTATCCTAAAGCTGGTATCCGATGCCGGAGGGGGGGCCAGTGCGAGTGCCACAGAAAATGCTGCCCTCAGAGAACAAGTACGCTTTCACTTTACTACATTTAGTTCTTTTCTTGTTAAAGAAAACCACCGTTACTCCCTTTAAAGAAGTATACTGCCGTTTTTTTTCGTGTTCTATTTTCAGAAGCCTTACTTGATCAATTTTATTGTGACTTTTTGTTTTTCTGTTTTTTTTACACATATACAATGATTTTTTTTTTTTCAATCAGTGTTTCTGCACATTTCAACCTATTTTCTTAAGCAATAATTAAGTGGTTCAGAATGTCTTCCTTTCCTGTGCCAGCCATTGGCTTCCACTCATTTATGATTGCTATACAGAAAAACCAGTAGATACTAGTGCTTGAAACACAGAGCATCCATCAGTGAGCGTCATGTCTGATTTTATTTTTACTAGTCTTTTTATCGTTGCGTTGTAATGCAGACTTTTTAAATCCATCTGCACTCTCAGCTGAAGTATCACACAGCGATAACCGAACAGTATAAACCGCTTTAAACACAAAACAGTTGATCCAAAGTGTTTTAAGCATCAAGACAAAACATCAAAAGGAAGAAAAGAACAAGAAAAGCACAACTTTAAGAAAAAAATATACAACATACAATGAGTCGTCTCAGAGGAGTCCTGGAATGGTTAAAAGCTGGTGACTACAAATGTGTTTTAAGTTTAATGTTCACAAAAATCCCAGCACACTCCTCTGTCCTCAGTTCTTCTTATGTGGACATGACAGCATTGTCAACTTTACTACATTTAGCTATTTTTCATGTTAACATTCTCATGTCCATTTAGAACATAAAAAGAATTGGAAACGACAGAAGAAAGTTGGTTGCTTTACAGATATTTATCCTATATATATCTTTTTGTGCAGACATTATTTACCGAGCTCCTGCAAAGAATTTAAGGATGTGAACGTATCTCTTGATAATTAAGATTAATCATGAAAGCATGAATAAAAGACAAACTGAACAAAAGCAGACACCGAAAAAACCCCAAAACATTTGGTCCGACGTGTAGGAACAGACAGGACATCACTCTGACAACAACAAAAGCAGACGAGACGATTGAAGCACATTTTTAGCCTCCGTAGACTGACTACTGGCATGAAACGAAAACAAAGGCGGAACAAATTTATGACATTTTGGTTTAAAAAAAATAAACAAGTCAATAACTCATGCTCAGAGAGACACAACTGTTTTGTAAAACAGCAAGAAAGAGAGATCTGGCCTCAGTCCTAAGGAGGAAGTTAAAAACACACCAGTACTACAAGACAATTCTACAAAGGAAAAGATACAAGAATTAAATTAACAATCTGGCACTTGATTGTGAAATCCATGTCATGGTTTTCATCAAACTCCATTAGTTGACGAAGGCCATTAGATTTCCAGTAAGACTTGGTGTTAAAAATTTGTGTGTCAATTATTTTACTTCAATTAAGTAACTTCAGGCTTCAGAATTAAAACTCTGCGCTTCTCTCGGGCACTTATTCCAAAAACAAAACATCCAGAAAGGCAGAGAACTAATCTACCTCAGAGACAGAGTAAGGCGCAGAATGAAGTCAGTTGCCATAGGCTTACAAGCAGCACAGTTAAAACTTAGCTGGACAAATCTTACAGGCTCTGAAAAATGTAAATGTAAAGCGATGAACAGTCAGGTTAAAATGTGCAAAAACATGGGTTCATTTCCTTTGGGGATTGTTGGGTTCTGAGTGTCTTAACGTCAGATTTAGTCTAAATCTTTTCACATGTCACATATCAGTGAAACTTTTTTTTTTGTTCCTTTTCATATTTCCACAGCTGCAGCTCATGCTGAGCTTTAGCTCCCCGTCAGCCACAGGTGATGTAACCTTTTCCCTTCTCTTGTCTCTCAGCGCCATGGCCACCTACCCGCCCACCTGCTCCAACACCAACACGTCCCAGGGAATGAACATGGCCAACAGCATCGCCAACCTGCGGCTCAAAGCCAAGGAGTACAGCTTGAACCAGGTGCCCACGGTCAACTGAGAGGAGGAGGAGAGGCTGGGGGGCTCGCGCAGGAGAGGAGGGGACCCTCTCTGCTGCTGGACCCCTGCAGACGGACACCGTCTCCGGGCATCATCTGAGGTAGCCTGGATCATGAAGTCTCCTCCCCTTCCTCGAGCAGCCGCGATTGCATACTTCTACACATATATGCAAAATGTTGGACACCGAGTTTTGGCAGGATTTTCCATAAGCCGCCTTTATTTTTTAATTTTTTTTTCAATTCTCCTGAGCATCACTGAACTCTTCTTTGTACAAAAAGACATCTAGATCGGATGCTGTAGTCGAATATCTGCGTAGTTTTTACATTTGTAAATGTGACTGAAATAGAGGGGCGAGTTTTTTAAAAATCATTTTGTTTTAAATCAGAGAACTTGCTCTCGACCAAGACTCAGTTATGGACTACGTGGAATTCCCTTTGTCCCCTTGGCTGTGGTGTTGGATAAAATCACACACCAAATTTGGGATAAACAACATTTTTTCCCCTTCTAAAATCAACAACAAACCGACAAGGACTTCCTCTGACATTTACGCTTAAAGAAAAAAAAAAAAAAAAGATAGTTTTGTTTTTCTTTTATACCACTGCCGAGCAAACATTTTCAACGCATTTTGATTTTCATGTTATAGTCCAATATAAAGGAGAGGCTAATGTATTTCTGAATCCAAAACCAGTAGATTCTCTTAATTTCCTATGATATCCTTTATTTGTAACAGAATAAAAACTTGTATATGAATAAAAATGCATTTTCAAGCAATGCAATGGCACAGTGTCCAATTCAACAGATCTTCCAAAGACAAAGAAGAAATACCAGTCGTCCACTTTTTGGAGAACATTTAGGAGCACCGAGTGAATCTTTATGGTTGAAAGGTTTTTAAATCAACATAAGAAAAATCTTTGATTGCTACAATGGAGTCAGACTTAAATTATGTTTCAGAAACTATAAGAAAAAAGTACGTTTATAGTCGAGACCATTTGGAAAGCAAAATCATCTTGGACCTCGAGCGTGCCCCATAAAAGAGAGATTTACAACTCGAGAACAGATCCTCCTTCACTGAAACCTCAAGCTGTTCCTGCTTTGTGTGTTTTCTTTTTCCTGATTACCGCAAACTGAAATTTCCATCTTGAAAACAAGATATTTATGAGCAGGGAAATCCTCTCCTTAATATGGAGGGCCCCTGGGCCTCGTTTAACTCTGTGGCTGTCATACAAGGTGTTTCTTCTCCTTGGCCCCTCATAACCTTCGCCGTCAACAAACACATGTCGACGCTCGCCCTCGCACGGCGCGCTCGGGCAATAAAAGAGGGGTCGAATGAAATTGCAGCTGATGTGGCAGCGTTTCGATTTCTGTCAGAGTTTGAGGAGAATAGGTGCAGTCCACATGAGCACATATAGCCTGTGGAAGTATCTTTTGGAGAGGTTTCTTGTATACAACTCAAAAATATCCCCCCAAAAAGCACAACGCTGCTTACTTCCTTGTCATAGGCTGAACTCCCTTCAAAAGGTTTAATGCTTTTAGCATGACAAACACTAAACACGTTGTGAAACTTTGTTTACAACCTATTCTTATTGTCTTCTGCTAAAATCGGCGTAAACACGTGAAATTTAAGTTATTTCAGGAAACTTTTCTTTACTTTTGTCTCAGTGTTGCTTCTTGCTGCCTAAAGTTAAACTCCATGTTGTTCTTTGGCATCGATCCTCAGTTATTCAGTGTTTCAGCCTCCTGTTTCCAGTTACCTTTCAAGTACTCCTACTTCAGAACAGCTATGAGATGTTGGTAATTTACTATTCCATTCTTACGATTTCGGATTTTACATTTAACATGCGAAAAGCTCACAAAACATCTGTGTAGCTTTTCTTTTAGAAACTCTTGTTGTTGCTTGATGGGTGTGCATTTTTGTTTTACTTTAGCATGTGATCCTTCATCTGATCTGAAAGTAGGATAATCTCCATGAATTGGGGTGCTTTTCATCATTTCATTATCTCCAACTTGGATGGTTTTACAGCTATGGACTTGCTTATTTTGAATGTAGCACCATCACTTATAAAGGAGCATTTTCTCCACTGCAGTTTTGCCATTTTTAATTATGTTAAGGATTTAACGATTTCCTCCCTTTTTAAGTTTTGCAGTTGTGTGTGCGTGAGGCTTAGTCGTAATAAAGAAGTGGTTCATTGATGTGACTTGTATGCCACATTAAAAAAGGGATATTTCTGTTTTCTTTTCTGCTGTTGGTTGTTTTCCTGATCACTGATCCCTGACTGTGGTATGTCCAGTGTCAGACCCCTGTCCCCCTCTCCCCTGCCAGGCGCCCGGTCTCACCTTTCACGGCCAGGCCTAGGCTGACCTGAAGTGATTCCAGATGTGGAGATTTTTTTGACCCCCCCACCCCCACCCTTCGGCCTCCTCCTCCTCCTCCTCCTCCTCCTCCTCCTCCCCCCTCTTCGCCCCTAGGCCCTGGCCAGCCACTCCATCAGGGCTGACAGCGTCCCCTCGGACAGCGTCTCTCCACGCCTGAGCACATGACATACAAGGCAGCTCCCCCTCCACCACTCCTTCTCCTTCTCCCTCGCCCTCACCCACCCACCCCCATCCTCAGCAGCACATCTGGAGCTCATTACAGAGGAGACAGTAAGAGCGAGGGAGGGGCGGGGAGTCTGCGTGCAGAGTGTGTATGTGCAAGAGAGCGGGAAAGAGAGTGTTTCTTAACCCTTCTCCCTTAAAACATCCACCTTCTTTTCCCTCTTTTATCCCTATTCTCTTTTGGGTTTTAACTTTGGGTTTTCCGTCGCTCTCTCTCTCTCTCTCTCTCCACATGCAGTGATCTTTGTCCTGCTGTCAGTGCCACATGATCACAAATACTTTATTAATGAGTGGTTTTGGAAAAGAGCTCGGCACAAAAAAAAGAGAAACTCTCGGAGCAGCCTGAGTGAAATACTGCACAGCTGTTAACAGTGTGTGGTTTGGGTGAACAACCAAAAGAATGTCCCGAGATGTGGAGTTTCCACGCAAAGTCAAGTTGACTGAGAGGTTGCACTGTTTGCGTGATTAAGTCACTATTATTACACACTTTTTATAAACACAGATGCAGGCTCGAATACACCCTCTGTTGGATTGTAAAGGAAACATAATCAACATCAAACTGCCATCTCAAGGTTAATGTTGATGACCATGTGTACTTCTATCGCCAACGAGTTTCTTTTCTTCAGGAATTGAGAAAATCTGGCTGCTTTTTCCCCATAAAAAAGATGAATCCTTTTTTCTGATTAACACGGACTATTTTTGAAAGTATACACAGGATTTTCACAATGGTTTAATGGCCTCAAAAGTCATTAAATTCTCTTAGAACCTGGAGACCATTAGTTCTTTAGTAACACCACAGGAAAGGAAAGCAGCCTAGAATCTCTCAGAATTACATTCATATTGGACATTTTCCTCCAGTGCCAATGCAAGAATAGGGTGTGCTCGATGTGGCAAGGTAGAAGGTAAATGCCTCCGTAGGCTTCAAAAGAAGTGCTTATCCGAATATCTAACTGCATCTGAAAACCTCCGTCCTACTTCAGAATCGAGGGGTTTGTGTACGGCAGTTACTTTACCAAACAACCAATCTGACAGCCACGCCAGCTTTACACAGTGATTTAGCAGGTGTGTGGCGGTGTGAGAGTAGGCGAGGTTTAAACTTTTTGTCACTATTCCTGCGAAAGACTTAATGCAACATCAGGAATGTCTTTAAGGCGAAACTGGGCAAAAGTTTGTGTTACAAAGACAAAGAGTTGTTGGAGAGATCAGGGAGGCAGTGGGACGTAGGCTTTTCACCTCGCCCTCCAGCGTGGACAGGTGGAGACACTTTGGTCATGGTTGTCTAACCATTTGTATGTCTTACAAACTAGTTTGGTTCAGGCATACTGAACCCTTTAGAGTGTAAAGGTCAGGGTGGTCGATGGGCGTGAACTGACAGTCATGCATGAGTGTGGAGTTTTCATCCTCCCACCGAACAAAAATTTGTTTTGCTTTTTGTTAAATCATAACCAAATGTTTGCACTGATTATGTCACTGACCCTCATCTGCAGTTTGCCTCGTCCTGAATCTCCAATAAGGCAACTTTCTTATATAGTGATAGGCTTGCAAAAAGTTTAGCCAACTGAAACTACTTGGTAAAAGGGTCATTATTACATTGTAGGTCGTATTTTTGTAGTTTTGGCCATCATGTTTATCACGGTAAAGTCAGCAGTCAGATGATCAGACAGGTTGTAAACAAGCCAATGGTTTATGCAGATTATTGAAACCATTTTCTGTGGAGGTAAAATGGAAATTGAAGTGTTGCTACTGAGCCCTCATTGTAAATTAAATATGTGTGCCCACAAGTGCAGCAGGATAAAGCTGAAGCAGGATGTAGGTCTGTAAACAGCATGGACGTTTACAATGTTTTTTTTTTTTTATATTTTGGAAGTTTTTTCCAACCTGTCTGATCATCTGACTGCTGCTGGTTTTAACCTGTCAGTCCTCTTTTTAGTGATGTTGCCATGTTCCCAGATCTTAGCTGTTAATCCTTTAACGGTTTGGGGTGATGAGGAGGATTTTGCATTTAGATGAAAGCTGTACAAAAGTTCACGTTTCACTTTCTTTTAAAGTTTGTTGTTTCAGTTTTTTTATGCCAGATTGAAAAGTACAGGATCTCAGTACAAACCTAAATGTCACATGCTGTATTTTCCCATGCTGCATGTAACACAGTGACAAAGATAGTTTTTGTCTCGTCCTGGAAGTAACTTAATTATGGTGTGATAAATGCTTCTGGCTTGACTTAAATGGCCGTTCTGGTCCTGGATGGATGAATTAGCATTTTAATTTCCTCTGCCCTGCTGAGGTCCAGCTGGGCAACAACCAAAACAACAATTATGGTGAGTGACATGACGTGAGTGCCGAGACATCGTCACTATATAATCATCACCAGAGTTCATATTCCCTTATGGCACATGAACTATTTTAAGTATTTGGACCTCTTTCTAGGTCTCTTACAGGAAGTTTGGCCTCTTGCAGCATAACACGTGTCTGACCTAGGAAATATGTATGAAGTCTCTGGAGCACAGACATTTACTGACCTCAGGGAATATTACATTATTCCTCCAACAGGCCTCGTATTCCTTTTGGTTTTGTATTCACTCTTGCTTTCAAACTGTCTCTTTCATGACCGACACAAAGCAATAAAATGCTTTAAAAAGACAGCTATATCAGTCACATTTTAAGCAGAGCCTGTTAAGTGCCCAGGATCGTATGTACCTGTCAGTTGGTGTTAAGTGTGTGATACACTGTTCAAACCTCAGGCTTTTTCAGCTCACTTTGAAGACATAGCTGCAAATCCAGTCCAGCAGCTCCAACTAAAAAGAAGCTGAAACAGGAAACAGTTTTGTTAAAAAGTGCGACCAGATTTTTGTTACTCAGGCTGACTTTCACTCACCCAGGAGGGTGAAGCTGATGGCAGGACTCTTCCTCAGATTATCAGCGGTCTTACTCCCTCTGCTGGACGCTGACAGTCCACACAGCTGCAGGTCAGCAGATGCTGCTGACCACCAGGAAGAGGAAAGAAAAAACTGATTGCGTATTCCTCAGTAATCAAACCAATGACAAACTAATCTTTTCTAGAGGTGTTTTCTTATATCTTCTTAAAATAAGTAATTAAAACTTTCAAACTTAACTTGTTTCAAGAACCATCTATAAATGCATCTTGAAAGAAGAAAGTTACGGCATGCAGCTACACTAGAAAGATTAAAAAATAAATATATATATCAAATTCAAATACTAAACAAGTATTAAGGAAAACAGTCTCACCACAAGGTCCATCTTCCTCTGTCCCCCAGTGGTCGTGCTGACAAGTTCATTTAAAGTGCACATATGCACTGTGGGAAAAAAAAGACTTTATAGACAAAAGTGGACTTGATTAGAAGGTGATTTTTTTAAAGGATAGATATAACTTTAGAGCAGACATATGCAGACATGTTTCATGTGAATATATTCAAACTGTTATCCCAAACCCTATTTTTTTTTATTTTTTTTTTTAATCCTATTACAGACTTCCTTATAAGATGTTCAAAAACTTCTGTAGTTGGGTAGCCAAGGGATAAAAATTATATTTTTATACAAAATCCCTTTTTATATTCAAGAGAAAAAGCCAAACTTTTCAAGTCTAGTCTAAAATTGGCAGAATTGTGATTTAAATGTGTGCATTTCTGATTTAAAAAAATGTGAACTATGAATCTGAAGAAAGCTTTAAGGACAAATATCGGTACTTCAATACTTGGTGCCACAACCACATTTCAGTCAAAACAAAAAGTATTGGGGATTAAACTGTAATAATTATAGTTGTTATTGTGAAGCAGTGGTCTGAGTTAATTTAATCAGAGTTGGAGGTGTTAACGAAGGCCTGACACTCACAAACGCAAAAGGATTAGAATACAAATACTGAATACCAGTTTCAAGTCTTGCTGCTCTAAAATGGTTTTCAAATTCTGAGACTGTGGTCCTGCCCTCACACAAAGATTGGGAAAATGTGCCCCCTCATCCCCGTCCCCCCTTCAACTCCAGGAATTGAGTAAACTATACTTGCTTGATTTCGCTCAATCCCTGGATGCCTATGGGATCATGATGTTATTTTATCTCCTAGATACTCAGCAGTTGGGCCTAATATTGCTGTTTAACAGAACTCCAGACTACACCAAATACATTTAAAAAAATGTCTGTCCTGATGCGTTTATTTAGTTTCTGACTATGAAAAAGTGGGTTTCCCAAAACTACTGTATCTCTGAACTCTCTCTTTAACCAAATCACACACATGTTGGCTGTTCTCCGTGATCTTCTTTTGAGAACTAATGTATTATTGCCTCCTCTGAAACTGTTTAGAGGCCCCCTGGGGAGGCCCTGCCTCACACTTATGTATTTGTTTTCTGTGATGAAATGATGCTGGTGCGTCTTTATCGCTGACATTTTTCTCCCCACACAGGCCGTGTTCCTCCGTGCTGCTGACTGACTTTGAGTTTTCTCTAATGGGCTCCATACTGACCAGTTGGAGATGATTATTTGGGGAAACATGACACTGGGATTGGATCAAATGAGCCAAATGTGGGCACGTTACATGCATGTGGACGTCCGAACTAGGGATACAGAAATGTGTGTGTGTGTGTGAGAAAGAGAGTATAAGAGAGGGATAAAGTTTATGCATGTGCCTTTTGATCAGTGCCTAAACTTAAGGCTATGAGGAATGTTTCTTTTTCTCCTTTGAAGGCAGTTTGAGTTTTCTGTAATAGTTTTGGTTCAGCTGTGGCCTGTGTGTGTGTGTGTGTGTGTGTGTGTGTGTGTGTGTGTGTGTTCAGCTTGGTATAAATGGGGGCGAGCTCTGAAATGAATATCATTGTCACATCTCGTGCCAGAGCAAATTCCCCGTCCAAAGCAAAGCAATTTGGAGCCAACGCCTGCCGTGGAAAATCTGCCTTCAATTTTCCTCCACTGGTGGCTATGCATGCGCTCGCCACTCCAACTCCTTTTCTCTAATTCACACACACACTGAGCAAACCAAAGGCCGAGCATTCTCCCTCACACACACACACACACTTCCAGATCAAGTTAGCCTGCAGCAAGTGGACCCCACAGTTTATTTTTTTCTCAATTATCCATTTAGTGTAAGTGGCAGGCGCCTGGTGGGCTCCACGCCGAGAGGAAATGTTTGTATTGTCCTCATTTAACAATGGCGTTTAAACTAATACCTGATTACCGTGAGTGAGTCACCACTGAGAAATAGATTTTCGAGACAGCTGGCTCTGTTTCTTTGTTTTTCTAGTTAGCTATCGGAGTGCTTTTTTTATTTTAGAGGCACAACTAATGTATCTGTACTCATAAATTCTGAGCAGTGAGCCTTGGCTGTCATTTTCTGTGTGCACTAGACAGAGAGCCAGGTTGGAATATATTTACTGAGCGCATATGTGTGTGGACATGATCAGTGTTAGAGACTCATGCAGTGGCATTAATGAGGATTAGTGATTAACATAAACTTTATTAAATGCTTTTATACAGAGAGGTGGAAGAGGCTATTCCTTGGATCTGTCGCCCACTTAGTAAACTCTGGGGTGGATGGTTGGGTCAACCAAACATCTGACAGTCAACTTTGGTCTTTTATAAGCATGCCCACCATCATGGCCTAACCATAACCACATGTTTGTTGTTGTCACCACGATGAAGAAGGTCCCCTCTCCTTAACAAAGTACCAATTTTAACCCAAACCATGATCTTTCCCTAAATCTAACCTAGTCGTTTTTGTGCCTAAACATAACCAAACCTTAACCACAGTGTTGACCAAACTACAAAAACACAAAGTCCAATTTTGTTTCAAGAGCTTTCAACCACATTTCATGGCCTTCCCGAGAGGATGCTGCTAAGTTGTCAAGGAGATGGTTTAGTTGTTATCATGTGATAACTAGGGAGATTGTAACCGCTGTCTCTGTTGGGAGGATGGAGAGAGGTGAGGCCGCAGACGCACCGCGAATGAACAGAACCATGTCACTTTAATGTTCGTTCTGGATTAGTGGTCATGTGGTTTGGGTTTGAATTAATTCTAACAAATTCTGTGTTTGTTCTGACTCATTCAAACTTGACTGAACTTGAATACTTTTATTTATTTATTCTGAAAAGTACTGAATGAACCAAACACATACCCACCATGTTAGTGCTCTAGGTTGTTAAAAAAATCCCCAAATCCCCAGAAAAAAATTACAAAGACGTTCAACTCAGTTACGCCCATTTCTTCCCGAAGCCGCGTATCTGGACTTCTAGAACGGATCCTTCATGTGATCCAGCCTCTGCCCATGCTCTGCTGCGCAAGCACAGCAAAGCACAGATGACTCTGGCACACATACAGCACGATAAACTAAACCGAGCCTTGAGTTCAGCCAGGCAGCCATAAAAAGCTCTGATGCAGCAGTTTCCAAAATGTGTCTGTTCTGATCTGCTGTAATGACAAGTTTCCATGACAGAGACCAACTTGGAAGACCAGAAAGTTGATGATGATGATGATACATGATACAGCGACTTACCATCAAACATCGTCCAAGTGTTTTCAGTTGGACGACCCGCGCCTCAGCTCTGCAGTTTTAAATCTGAGGAATTCTGTTTTTCTTTTGACTCATCATGAGTCTGAACGGGCCTCATGAAATCTTGCTGACGCCTCACTTCCCCTGAGGAACGCCTCATCTTCTTCATCTTTATTTCCCCCTCTGCGCTCATTATGCGTGTTGCTGGACTATTGTGCTGTGGAGGATCATTTCTTGCCGCCTGCCCCGCTCACATATGAAATCTACAGAGACAGCAGGAAGGATGGGAGCATGAGAAAATGAGGTGGGGAAGAAAGGGAGAGCAAAAAAAAGAGATAAAAAGAAAGTAGTTCATCAAAACACAACGCTGGTTCAGCGATGGTTCATTTTGGAAATTTGTCTTATCTCATGCCTGTTCCTGTAACTGCAGTTCATATCTATCCTGCAGAAACTGAACATAAAAAGGTGATGTCTTTATTTCTGCAACAGAATTTACACATTTCTAGTTCAAGTTTAATTATATAGCACATTTAAAAACAACCCTAGTTGACCAAAGTGCTTTCCAGGTTCAGAATGCACCACAAACATACACGACAACAACAGTAGAAAAGGTCAAATTTCTAATGTACATTATCATTAAAATGTTGCCTCTGATTTGCCCAGACCTGTTGAGATCTGAACAGAAAATTGATCCAGACCAGAAGAAGAAGGTCACGGTGAGAAGTGTGTATGTTGCCAGCTTTCCATCCATTTTTAGCTTAAATTCCTACAAAACCTAAACTTTCCTTATGCTGTTCGTTTTAGTAGCCTAGGCTAAATTGTTTACCAATTTACATAATCTTCTAACTTGTTAAATGCACACAGCTGTGCCTTATTGCCATTTACAACGTTGTGCTGCAACAACGCCAGTAACAGCATGTTGTCGATCTGTCCACCAGGTCAGATGATGCAGAGTAGGCCCTTCATTACCAACCATCAAGTAAGTACACTGGGATACAATGGTGAGTAATTAACAAACTCTTAGTTAAACATTAAACTGCTGGTTACTTTAAAACTAACCTTAATCTGGGTGATCACAGGGACGTGTGAATATTTGATCTGTTAATTGGTTGCATTTGGTGAAAGCTGTTGTTCTCAAACATTGTGTGAACATCAGCTGAGTCAGTGTTCGGGTGAAGCGACAGATCAAACAGGCCGATAGATAGAAGGTTTGAGAAGGGATTTCACCTTGGAAAAGTATTTTTAGCATATTTACATTTCATATATACATAAATACTGTAGTTTATTTTGAAACATAGTGTGGCTGCTGTATTTTGTGCTATATTTTTGGATAAACTTAAAAGAAGGGTTTGAGGTTTCTTATTTGAATGAGTCGGGGACGCATTTAGCTTAGCTCAGGATAAAATCTTGAAGCATAGCTAGAAGGTGATTTTCATACTGTAATGTAATAATAATAATTATAATCTTTATTTGTAGAGCACTTTTCAAAAACAAGTTACAAAGTGCTTTAACAAGTGTAAAAGACAATAATACCCAAGAGACAATAATACAAAAACAATACAAGATAAAAGCAAGAAAACATTGAAAAGACTAAAATACATGTTTAAGATAATATAAAATAGTAAAATAGAATAAAATAAAAGGGATAAAATAAAGTCAAATAAGATGGGAAAAGCTCTCCTATAAAAGTATGTTTTAAGAAGGGACTTAAAAGAGTTCACTGACTCAGCCGACCTGATTTCCTCGGGCAGGCTGTTCCAGAGCCTCTGGGCCCCGACAGCAAACGCTCTGTCCCCTTTAGTTTTCAGTTGAGACTCTGGAACAGACAACAGTCCTCTGCCCGAGGATCTCAAGGTACGTGCTGGTGCGTATGGGATTAAAAGGTCAGAAATATAACGAGGCGAGAGGCCATGAAGAGCTTTAAAAGTGATCAATAGAATTTTAAACTCAATTCTTAAACATACTGGGAGCCAGTGTAATGAAGCTAAAATAGGAGTAATGTGGTCATATTTCTTTGGACAGTCTGGAGTCGATCAGTAGATTTTTGGGTTAAACAGGTGAAAAGGCTGTTGCAATAATCCAGGCCCTGACAGCAAACGCTCTGTCCCCTTTAGTTTTCAGTCGAGACTCTGGAACCAAAGGTTCTTTGCCACAGGCTTAATGTGATTTACTAGGGAACCGGCAGATGGCAGTATTTGATTTGCCATCTGCTGAGACCCGATGACCAGGATTTCTGTTTTGTCGGAGTTCAGCTGAGGAAATTATTTGACATCCATTTTTTAACTTCACAAAGGCAGTTGTTAAGTGAACTCAGCATTCCAGGATCTGTGGATCTGACGGGCAAGTATATTTGTGTGTCATCAGCATAAATATGAAAAGAAATACCATGTTTATGGATAATATGTCCAAGGGGAAGCAGATACAAGGAAAACAAAATGGGTCCTAAGACCGACCCCTGAGGCACACCATATTTAACTGGACAGAACGAGGAGACATAGTTGTTTACAGACACGCAAAACTTCCTATTTGTCAGGTAGGATGAAAACCATTCTAGAGCAGTACCAGAGATCCCCACCCAGTGCCTCAGTCTGTCTAACATGATGTTGTGATCAATGGTCAAAAGCTGTCTGGAAACAATACTTTCTAGAATTTTTGCAATAAAAGGCAGTTTTGAAATTGGTCTAAAATTATGTGGGAGGGAGGGATCTAAACCAGGTTTCTTTAAAAGTGGGTTCACGCGAGCCGTTTTAAAATAATCAGGGACACAACCAGTAGATAGGGAGCTGTTGAAAACAGATATCAAATGGGGCCCAACAGAATCTATTACTTTCAGTAAAATCTTTGTAGGTATTACATGAAGTGGGCTGGAGGACACTCTCATTTGTGATACTGTTTTTAAAAGCTCAGACAAGTCGATGGGATAAAACTGGTTAAAACTCTCTGTAAGAGGCCGCGGGGGTAATAGAGGCTCTGATTGACACCACCTTATTGGTAAGGTACCACATGTACCACTGAGCTTTGAGATACCAGAAATTCCCAAGCAAGAACAGCAACTTCAGTCACCTCCATCATTCACTAGTGAGTGACTCAACAAAGCAAATCTGTTGAATATGCTTGGCATCAGTGGAACTTGCAGCTGTATGAGTTAATTAATGGGATTTAGTTTTTAGACATGTGTAACCATGATGGATCCACCTGTGGGCCGGCAGGGTTGAGGTTGTGACAGATATCAGTGTATATTCTCCAGCGGTGAAGGTTTTGATCACTGCATCAGACTCTGGCTGCAGGAATGAGATCATATTAACAGTCAGCTGAAATGTCCTGACCTCAGCCGGCACGTCACACACAATTATGACAAAGTCAAACAAACACAGCAAGAAACTGAAGAGAGGGCAGAGTATTTTCTACAACAGAGTGAGCAGTGCAGATATTCATAAATGTAACGTCACTCATCAACACATCTACACATGCCTACAGGCATTTATATTCAACAGTATTCACGCAGACATATACACTCACCCATTGATTTCACCTTAATTAGCTTTAAAGTTTACTTTAGAAAAACTAATTTAACATTAGGACAACCTCACTTTTATAATCTGTAGCTGCCTGTTCACCTAATTGCATTGATGATTATGTTTGCCAGGAAATAGCTCCAACATATAACAAATGGTTTGGTCTGTTAATGTACAGATTAAACAAAGATATATGTTTGTGCTAATTATTGAGCTGTAGAGGTGTATGTGGGCTATTTTTGAACATTGGATTGAGCCAGGCTAGCTGATTCCCCCCTGCTTCCAGTGTTTATGCTATGCTAGGCTAACCACATCCTTAGCACCCAGACATGAGATTGATATCCACCTGAACATCTAACTCTCAGTGTGTATTTCCCCATGATGCCCTGTTGCTTGTGACAGTGACAGTTCTAACTCTGTTCCTATGTTACAAACTTTCTCTCTCTGTAGATATCCTTGTTTACATGCACAAAACAGTAGGCTGAAAAATCAGCATGATTGTTTGATCAGGAGCAACAATAACAAAAGGGGTGTAGTTCAGCAATTGACCACCAGGTGACATGAAAGCAATGGTTGGCACAGGCTCAATCAGAGGAAGTAGATGTGTGGAGGAGGAGTGATGTGAAGGAACCTAGAAATAAAAGTAAAAGAGATTAGAGGAAAATAGAAGATATGATGTGAGACAAACTGCTAAATATGAACAACCACCAGAGAAATACTGCACTTCTGCAGAGAGCAACATACAGATTGATAGAGTCTTATGTCTTATCATGTCACATGAGGGCAGGAGGGAACAGGATAAGCAGACAAGGAAAAGAAGATGAAGTCACTCTGCAGGGAAATGGTCGACATGTACAAGAATCTCTAAACTGTGTGCAATGCTCCATTTTCCACTCTTGCACACTTATGTGCAGGTTTTCAGAAGCTATTTTGTTGTATTTGTTTTCTTGGCTTGCTTAAGGAAACTGTAAAAATTTACCAATATTTCATGTAGGTCTGATTTAATTAGTTGTTGCACAAAGGTCTAAATACTGTTTCAAAGAGACCTTCACACTGGAATAACACTTTGGTGAACAACTTTTGCAGCTTTTCACCTTTAAAGGCACCCACTGTGTGTAACTTTAAGCCCACAAATAACCCTGAGGACATGACGTCAGTGTCCTACATTATAACTTGTTTTATTGTGTCTCCCCACCTTGCGTGACGCAGTTACCTGATCTTGAGGTGGAGATGTGTGTGTGTGTGTGTGTGTGTGTGTGTGTTGGGGGGGTCCCCGTATGGATGGGTGGTCATGCCTCAGGGCTTAGCACTGCAGTCCTGCTCTGACCCTCCTCTTTAACACGTTTTATTCCGCGCATTGATGCGCCTCTCACGTGGTTGTACGCCAAAACGAGTGCACGGGCCTCCGCATCACGAAGCTTTTCGTTTGATGTTTGGGTACACGGCACCGCTGGGAGGGAGGAGGGGGGGAGAGCATCTGACGCGTGAAAATCCAGTCAGCCGTTTATTGGGTCGCGGAGGGAGAAGGTGGGGGGGGGGGGTCCCTTTCCGCTCCCGACCAATGAGCTGAAACGGGAACATCAGCGGTGGCGTCTGACCAGCAGCAGCAGCAGCAGCAGCAGCAGCAGCATCCCTCCGACTCCAGACTGAGGCTATAATCTGGGATGCTGGCGGATGGATCCGGACTCTAACCGGGGCTGGAAGACTGATGGTTAATTACAAGACGCCGGTGATCCGATGATGTGCGTGGAGGATCCCGTCGACGTGATTAGAAGAAGATGGAGAGGGAACAGCTGCTGTCACCGCGACACT